TCCAGAGGCCCACCCACCCAGTGCCATATCCCTGTTCCTTCACTGGAAGGTGAATTCCTGCTATATGTTTTGTGCCAGCATGAGTGCGTGCATGCGTGTGTGAATGCGTGCATGTGTGCATGAATGTGTGTGTGTGTGTGCATGCTTGTGTTCATGTGTACGTGTGGTGTGTGTGTGCATGTGTGTGTTCGTGTGTACGTGTGTGTGGTGTGCATGTGTGTGGTGCATGTGTGTGTGTGTGTGTGTGTGTGGTGTGTGTGCACTCACACATTAGCGCAGAGGCTGCCCTCATACCACACAGAGGGATGTTATAAGGGCTGCTGACAAACGCTGCCACTGTGCCTTGGAGGGAGGGAGGCAAGAGGGAGGGGGGAGGCTTGGAGAGTGTCAGTGTGTCTCAGCTTGTGTGGGGGCGCCTGTGTGGGGGTGGAGGGCTGCAGCATGCATAGAACATGTGCCTGCTTGCTGCTCTGATGTTGCAGAGAAGCCAGGAAAGGCTGTCCCTTCCCCTGCCTTGCACCTGTCCCTGCCGTCCAGGTCCTGTGTCCCCATTTCCCATCCTTTCACCTCTGGCCCCTCTCACTGTAGCCTCCTGTAGCCTCAGATGAAACAGCACCCTCTGTGAGGTATCTCCATCTATGCAGTGCATGGGCAGTCTCCACAGTCCACCCAAGGCAGGCGTGCAGGAGCTACAGTTTTCCTGCCCTGAGGGAGGCCACAGACATCTCCAGGGATAGGACCCCTATTTTACTGACAGCAAAGTTGAAGCTCACAAAGAAAAGTGATTTACCCAAGGTATCCCCGTAAACTCCAGGCTGTCGTTGTGTGGCCAGAAAATGGACACAAGCGCATCGTTATCCCCTTCACTGTCCCTTGCTGCTGCCACCACCAAGACCCCTGCCCCTTTCCCTGGCTCATAAGCAAGAGGAAAGCTCTTTCACAGATGCAGCACCAGATGGGGCCTCGCTTGCTCCCCACAACCTCCCAGGGACCAGGCCCCAGTCCCTTGAGCTTTCCTGCCACCTCCTTTAGCGCCAGTCTGCTCATCTGTAAAATGGATGAATAAGCCCTGCCCACTTCCCTCAGGCATAAGCTAAGGGATGGAAGGGTACCATGAGGCCCAGTGCACTGCTCCTAGGAGACTTAGGTGCAGAAGAACCCTGACTCTAGGTGGGGCTCTGGTGCCTTAGTGTCCTCTCAACATGCCGCTGCCCCTTCTCCTTCCAGCTCTGCAGGGCAGGGGACAATGGCCAAGCACATGCTACAGTGTACTGGAGCTTGCACTTCCAAGAGGCCTTGCACATCAGCACCTACGCCAGGGCCACCGCCCACAGATCAGCCCACCCAAGTGTGGTACAGCAGGAAAAGCTGTGGAGGAAGGGGTTTGGGCTCAGGGGCCAGCCCCCAAGTGTCTGTCAACCTTATGGCCACCCACACTCCCACCAGCTTCCCCCACCCTGCACTGCCTGAGTCAACTTCAGATCCCTGTTTCTAGAGAGAAGAGTGGGCTGAGCGCGCTCTCTCTCTCTCTCTCTCTCTCTCTCTCTCTCTCTCTCTCTCTCTAGTAAAATCTTCTCCTGAGGTTCCTTCTGTCCAGAGTAGCTGTTGCAGGCCTGCAGAGCAAGTCTCTGCCTCAATAATCTCTGTAGGTTGGGCTGATGGAGGAGGCTTCCTACCTCCAGGGCCTGCCTGAGCTCTCTAGGACTTCCCTGGCCTCTCTCTACCCACCCCCCCATTACCACCACCACCACCCTTCCTGCCTTTCTATTGGCTCTGACATCAGAGAAGGCTGAGTGAGTGGAAGGGAACTCTGAAGGCTACCCTGACCACTCTGATCCTGCAGCTGGCACTATAGCCCACTCCAAGCAAGTGCTTCCATTTCTTTCATCCCAGAGAGGGAGAGGGGAGTGAGGATCACCTCTGGGTCCCTAGAAACAGCCCCACCCTAAGCCTCTAGGGGATCCAGAATCAACTTCGGTAGCTTCTCTGAATTCATGTTCTTCAGTGCCAGGGAATGGAGGGGGTCTTTAGTCTGATAGCATCTAGAAGTTCCAAAAACTCCTATCCAGGGCTGCATCCAGGTGGGAAAGGAATCTCTGCTTACACCCCAGACCCCGTGAAGGCCACTTGTAACAAGCTAGTCTCCACTGGGCAGAATAACAGTAAGTCTTGGCAAAGTCCGAGCCCTCTTCTATGCTGTGGCAACCCAGAGCCCTGACATAGGTCAAGCAAAGTCTCTTTTTAGGCCCAGCCGAGCTGGGTAACAGGCTGGTTATGTGGACAGAGTTCTGGATGAGCGCTCAGTATCTGGGTAGCCACACAGTGTCCTGGCTAGAAGACACATGCTCATCAACAGAAGGGTGAACTCCTCAGACTTCTTCTTTGCTTCTGTGTGGAAGAAGAGCCCCAGGGGGCCTTGATCAACATCTCCCCCTAAACAGGATACCCTCCACAGGAAAGGTAAACATTGAGAAGGCTCTGCCTCCTCCTTTACACCAGCCCAATCCCTGAGGACAACAGCCACTCCCTCAGCAAAGTCCTGCAGAGGCCCACTGTGTGTGAGGCTTGAGGCTATGTCTTCACACACCATCTATATAACCCTCACAGCTCTTTAAAGCTCCAGCTTGCAGGTCAGAAAGAGCGGCAGTCCACCCAGTGTCACACAGAGCTAAGGGTCATGTGAGACAGCCCCTCCCTGGACATCCCCACCTTACTTCAAACTAAGGCTAAGGTGGGGAGCAAAAGGCATCAGACTCATCTTCCACAGGGCACCCTGCCTGGTCTGTGTCACACAGATGTCCAAGCCACGAAGCCAGCCCACCACAGCCCCTTTCCTTCGCACAGCATCTTCAAGCACAGGTTCACACATGGCCTCCTGAGGTCTTACAAGCCCTGTCACCACCACATGCAACATTTTATAGATTTGTGCCTTTTGCTAGGGAATGTCTATTTAGACTTTCCTCGGATTCCTGGAGGAATAAGTGACCTAGAAAAGGTTAAGAGCACCAGTAGTTCTGAAAGGAAGAGGTCTGAAATTGATTGGACAAGGCCTGGGGGCATCCCTGCCGCGGCCATACTACTGTTCCCTGTCCCTAAAAGTTGTGCCCTACCCTAGCACTTCTTAGCATCCGGGCAGGCAGGGGGGCTGAGAAGGCCAACTCAGGCAAATGAGCCCAATCCTAAGAGATGATCCCCCATCTCTTATCAGGGGAAAAGAGCACTTTGGTGTCACTCTGATCACTGAAGTCACAGCTCAACTCCATTTCGTTGTGCTCTGTGACGCAGTCCTGCCAGAAGTGGCTTTGGGGGTTCCTGAAAGGCAGCTCCAGTCCATTCAGGAAACTCTTAGGTTCCGGTGAACACTAGATATGCTCTGGAAAGGGGTCCTGGATAAAGTTAAGACAGTCCACCAGAGCAGCCTTCAAACTGTATTCCTGTCCCCCATCTCCTACACAAAGACACGCAAAGAGCAGGAAGTCTGAAAACATATGCAAACACACATTTGCACAAGGAAGCTGTGTAGGTGTCTGGATAGTCAGAGAGAGAGAGAGAGAGAGAGAGAGAGAGAGAGAGAGAGAGAGAATATTCTGGGGCTATGCTTATGCACAACCATAGGTCCACCTCCCACACATATGCAGACACCAGCATAAGCTCACACATCCCCACAGCACCCATACGCCCACTTGAGTCCAGGAGTCCAGGCCTCACACAGGCGTGTGTGTGCACCCCTCCACACACACATTTCCTATACATATTCCACAAGATACACACACACACACATTCACTGATATTCACATATTTACACAGCTCTGTCCTGCCACACATGTGCACACAGATGCATGCCCATACCTTCGCTGCAATCTAACCAAGAGCATCTCTTGCATAATTACACAATGCACCCTTGCAGGGCACACTGACATTTTTAGGCTTTCCACACAGATGACACGCTTGCACATCTATCTCCTCATAGTTTACTTGCACCAGGATGTGCGTACCTTTTCAGTTCACACTGTGCCCAGTGTCAGTTCTTATACAACTCCATCTGCTTCCCATGGAAGTCATAGATAGTCTCTCCTCAAAATTGTTCACTGGTACACATACCTCCATCGCTCACACTGGCACACATCTGTTCACAGGGGCCCTTGCCTCATGTTCCTGCTGCTCCAGTAGGAACTAAACAGGGCTGGCATGGGCACTTTTGCGTCAGTGGAGCATTCTGCCAAACTGCTCCCCGACTCCTGATCCATCTCAGGACCCCCACAAGCCCAGCTGGGAACATCTAGAAACCTTCCCTTACATCTGTATCCTGCTGATCTACCCTAGGGAACCGTTTCTTTTCTACTTCCCCCTTCTCTCAACAACAGAGACACAATGCGATGGGTAACTTTGCCAAAGGATCACCTTTTTTTTTTTTTTTTTTTTTTTTGTGCCTCTGCCACAGTGGTGTCCCCCAGCTTGCTGATTATTCCTCCCCTCCTCCCAACACCACAATCGCTTTTGTGTTAACCCCTTCAGTACTGAAGCCCTTGTTCCCCGTAGGGAACTGGGAAAGGGGGAGATGGAGAGGGTGTGCCACTCTGTCCAGTGTCTAAAGTCAGGATCTCCAGGTGAGAGATGGTGAAGTCTCTATCACTGCAGGTATTGAAGTTCAGCTACAGAGAAGATTCCAGCTTGGACTCAGCCAAGTGAGAAAATCCTTTTAAAACCCCAAGTTTCTAAGAATCTTTGTGTACCCAGGTCTTGTGTACTTGCATACATAGTTGTGTGCATATGCCATCAATCTGTTACCCTTTCAACACACACACACACACAACCAGGCTAGATGGGCACATAAATGTGTCAATGCCTGACTCTGGACACCCTGTGCACACACGGTGTCCCCAAATCATGCAGCACACCTCCCTCTGCATGCAAGGGAGAGCTCTAACCACGTAGGCACACGCCCCCTGCCCGGAGAGGCTGATCCCATGCCCTCCGAGACTCCCTGAGGTGTGACTCACTTTCCTAGTTCCTCAAAGAGCTGGTACTCTTCTGTGAATCGGGTGCAGGTGATGGTGGCCATCCTGGCACTGGGCAGACAGGCGAGGATTTAGGCTGGGAACTAGGACTGGGATGCTGCTGCTCTGTTCCCAGAACTAGGGGCCACTCGCCTGCCTGCGCTCCAGAGTGCAAATGGAGAACCAGCTTGACTGACGAGCTCAGGGCTTCTGAGCAGGGCACTGTGGCTGCTCACAGCCTCGCGAGCCTTCGTCAGCATCCAGGTCCCCATGGCAACCACCTCCGAAACGCCCTGTTCCCGTTGCCCCGGTAACTGCCTCCCCAACACCTGCCTGCCTTCCACTTCAAAACCTGCTCCTGTGTTGCCCTGGCCCCATATGCACAATACTGCAGGACTGTGTGGGCCCGAGAGCAAGTGGACCCTGTTTTCCCAGGGTGATGTGCTGAGGGGGGTGAAGAAGGGGAAGAGAACAAACTTAGTCCACAAGTGATCTTCTCTCTTCCTACCTCCCCCACCTCCAACTATAGGACCCTTTTAGCAGACGGGATGGGATTAAGTGGGGCAAAGAGGCAGTTGCTATGGTAACAGCTAGTGGGTGCCACATTCTGGGATGGTCCTTGAGGAAGACAGGATGTAGTTACCCTGGCAACTTCATCTCTTCTACAGAGACAGGTATTGCCCCGTTGCCCTGGCAACAGCTGGGTTCTAAGGTTTATAGGGGAATGATGGCTAATTCATCTCTCTCCTCCCCTTCCCCCTTGTAGTCTCTGCAGTTTCACTGCGCCCTCTGGGAATTGATCTGGTTGACTTGGACTCTGCCTCTGTCCTTATTTTGCTGCTCTCCCTGTTTTTTAGCCACAGTGTATCACACTGTCACTCCAGCTTAGGGGAGAAGTACAGAGCAGGACCCAGGCTCTGGCTGCTTTCTCACCCCTACCTGTCACCACTGTGCAGCTGGGCCCTCCTGAGGCCTCTTCTGCAAGCTCTCCCCACCCATTCCCCTAGAGGAACCATGCAGATTTGGTCTCCTGGAGCTCATGTCCCAGTTTCTGCTTGTGCTCCGTGTCAAGGTAGGATTGGAGAAAGGCAACTATAATGAGGTGAGCATGGCCTGGCTCACACAGGCCTGGGACAGTGGCATGGATGTATCCTGTCCTGGACTCTTCTTTCCCAAACTGTTTATCTTCCCTGATGACCTCACCTCTTCATACCATACCTGTAGCCACAAATCACTTCCCAAAGCATGGATTTTAAGACTAGTGGTCTGAGTTCAAGTTCCAGTTCTGGCACTTATTAGCTGTGTGAGCTTGGGCAAGTCACAGAGGAAGCTCTCTGAACCCCACATCATTTTCTAGACAATAGGAAGAAAGCCGCGCTTGCATAAGACTCCATAAAGATGGAATGGCCTAAGGGCCATGAATGGGCTCTGGGAAGTTGGTAAACTTGAACAGTTCTCACTGTCTAGAAAAAGAAAAAGGAAGTTTTAAAGTGAGCCCATGACCACTCCCACAGGGCACCTGGGTCTTGAGCACACATTCCTCCATTCAGGGGAAAAAAATGCGTTAGCATGTCTCACAGGTATCTGTATAGGGGTCTCATGCCAACATTTATCCCCAGTGAGCAAGGGGCAGATGAAAGGACCTGGAAATGCAAATTTTCTCACCCATCAGAATTCATAAATCACTGGATCATTCACCTCACTTGTGGACATAGTGGTACCTTCAATTATTTTCCAACACCAACAAGAGCCTGACCCAACTGAGGATAGGGGGCCCCTGGGTCCCTCTTCCTTGGAGTCAGTGGAAGCTTGAGTGAAAGCTCTTCAGCCACGTTTCCCAGTAAAGAAAAAAGAAAAGGGAGGTGGAGGGGAAGGAAGGAGGCAAGGCAGGGAGGAGGGGGTGATGGCTTAGCCACTAATTGCACCATTACCACCTTCAGAAAAGGAAAAACCACTCCGTTTTGTTTCTGTGCACAATATGCTTCCCGTTTCTGCCGCCAACGTGGCAATTCGGAGGCAGAGCAGAGAGGCCTGTGCTCTCAGGGCCGCACAGCTGGTGGGTAGCAAGCAGGCACAGAACATCATGGCCAAGGCCAGAGGCAGCAGAGGAAGGCAGAGGTAGGGTAGAGCTGTATTTCTATCCTCCTGCCTCAGAGCCTCTAGCCCAATGGTTCTCAGCCTTCCTAATGCTGCCATCCTCTAATACAGTTCTTCATGTGGTAGTGACCCACCTCTCCCTCTCCATAAAATTATTTCATTGCTACTTCCTAACTGAAAATATTGCTTCTGTCATGGACCGTAATTTAAATACCCGTGATTTCCGATGGTCTTAGGCTACTCCTGTGAAAGGGTCGTCTGACCCCCAAAGCAGTCCGTGAACAAAGGGTTGAGAACCACTGATCTAGCCTGGTCCCTTGAAAATCCCCGGGACCATCCAGCCACTGCCCAGGGGAAACAGTGTTGATCAATTATTCGTGGCTGCACGACTTACAGGCTGTGATTTTTGAGTCAATGTCCTGACTTCTCTGCACCTCTTCACGTGCAAAATTGGGTAATGTTGTTCCTCACCTGCAAGGCTGTTTTGTGGCTTAAATGAGATGAACACAGTGACTGACACAGGAGGAATTATTATTGAAGAGCTAGAAATCCTTTCTTGCTCCTCCCTGAACCATGGAAGCACTGTTCTCTGAGACCTTGCTGGGGGTTAGTTCATGATAGACATTGCCTGGTATTGGCCTTATTCGCAGTAATTCCTGCAAAATAAATGTCAGGAACTAAAAACGAGGTCACTGGGACCCTCACTTATTAGGGCCCAAGGGCATGGCAACTGCTTTCAAACCAGTAGAACACTAAAGGGAATTGCTAAAGCTGTAACCATGGAAATGTAACCCTGCAAACAGAGGTGGCCATCCTCTCAGACCAGTGCTGGCCTGGCTACTGCTCCTGTCGCTCTCCACAGATGAAATGCAGTGTTTGGCTCAGAGGCCAGCAAAGCTTTTAGAACTCTGGGAGCTCAGGGGGGCATGTGAAGGCATGGCCAGCCTGACACTGGTCTACCTCCTAGAGGGACCACGGGGTCCTAACACCATGTGGTGACCACATCTGTTTGTTCTATTTCCGGCTCCCTTTCCTCCCTTTCTGCCTCATGCCCTCCTCCCGGGCACCCTCCTTGCCCTGCCCCTTCTCTCACTGAGCCATTCTCTGCTGTGCATGCAGGCCTAGGGGATGGGCAGGTCCCAGGACCTTAGGCTCACCAGATGGTGAACTAGCTGGATAGAAGTAGGCCGTGGAGGTGTGTCTTACACTTGCATGTCCACATACCTCTTGGGACCTTCTGGAGACTAGTTCAGGGGTGCAGAAACTGGCTTTGATGGACACTTGCAAACTGAGGGAAACTGCCACTCTGATGAGGAGGCATGGCTACTAATTCACCACATTCTCTGACCTCAAAGCAGGCAGCTGTGCCTAGTGGTGGCAGGCATCAGGAATCAGCCATGCCTGTGTGGCAATGAGGCTAAGCTGCTGGTTGCATGTGTTGAGGGGGGTGGTTTCTGCCAGACTTCTCACTCCCCAGGACCACAGTAGGCATAACAGTCCAGCACGTGCACACCATCTGCATGCAGTACTCAGGCACAGGCCTGTGTGCCGTGGGCTGGTGGCCAGGGGTGGGAACCCTGAAGTTTGCTGAGCCAGCATGGTAATGCCAGAAAGATTGGCCATGAACATAGACAGTGCCTCGTGTCAGTGGGAGGGACAGAAGGAAGCTGGGCTGAGCTCCAAGAGACAGGGGAATGATGGGAGGGAGGATTACAGCCCTAATGACACTGTGACAGCCCCTCCATGTGTTCTCATGCATATACTAAATGCCACAGGGTCTTGCAGGGTCTGAACACACACCACAGAAAACGTGCCATCTGAATGATCCCCATGGGGCCTGTCCCACTAAGGGCAGCAAAAGTGGGGGACAGGCTCAGTAGAAATTGGGCCAGGAGAGAAGGGATGCTGTGAGGGTCTGGGTAGAGGGCAACTGAGTTGCGGCTGTATGTAGAGTAATGCCAGGTCTGAGAGAGGCCTAGGAAGCAGCACTGTGCTCTGAGGTAGCCCTCCCTGAAGGGAACAGTGATGCACACCCTGTAGTTAAAGGTCCCATTCCTATCTATGCTAGAAAGGCTGCGAACAGGGCTTTCCAAGTGGTCTCACTTCCTCCTGGGAAGGTCAGGGACAAAGCACTCATTCTTGGGCCCCAAAGACATGAGGCAGTTACTCCTACATCAGGGTCGGGCCCTGTACTAAGCATTTTTTTTTTCACAATACTGTTTGAACCTTGCAGCAATGTGGTAAATACAGTGGTCCCATTTTGCAGAGCCATGACAGTACACACCTAAGAATCAAATCCAGGTCTGTGGGACTACATCACTTCTGCCCTGCATTATTAACCCCCATATAGAGCTGAGAAGACCACTAGGGGCCACATATCTCTTAGAGCTGGGAACCAAGGTATAGAGAGTAGAGGCTGCCTGCCCCTCTCATGGGTGCACAATTTAGTGGTAGTCACGGAAATAGCCTGGAGCTTCTGGCTCCCCAAGCGCTGTCCCTTCCTGACACTGCCAGGATGTTAGCCTGTGTTACAGGAAATCCAGAAGTACCTGGAAGAAGAGACACAGCCCTGGCCCAGGCAGGTAGGTGCAGGGCTCCTGGGGCACTGGTCATTAGAAGTGAGGACTCCATATCTGGAATCCAGCTAAAGCAGGCTCCCACCTGAACTTCACTCCTCCAGATTACAGGCCTACTCCAGTTTAGGGAGAAACAGCGCCCCCAGAGAAGACCTGACCTAGGGACTGTCTTTGTGTGCCCTTCCACTCTATCCTCTCCAAAGAGACTCGGGTAATGTAAGCAAAAGCCTAGAGGTGCTGTGTTAGCTAGTTTTAAGTCAACTTGACACAAGATAGAGTTATCTGAAAGGAAGGATCCTCGACTGGGAAAATGCCTCCATAAGACCTGTCTGAAGGGCATTTTCTCATTAGTGATTGATGGGGGAGGGCCCAGTCCACTGTGAGTGGTGCCATCACCCCTGGGCTGGTAGTCCTGGAGTCTATAAAAAAAGCAGGCTGAGCAAGCCACAAGGAGCAAGCCAGCGAACAGCACCCTTCCATGACCTC